ACAGCACTTCGTGCTCAAGTGAGCTGTAAAGGGCCTTAGAAATAAATAAATATTATTATTATTATTATATTATTATTATTATTAAATGATTATCCACACAGCGGGGCTCGCCGGTTTGCTTCATCGCCAGTTTGTTGTGTCTGTAACAACTTCATAAAGAATACTGAGGCGGGGGCAGTGACTGCAGGTTCACTAGTTTACTATACATTTTGTTTGGCTACAACTTGTAACGTTTTCTATGAGAAGACAGCCGCATACATGCGTGTGCCCCACAATACCTAAAAAGTATTGTTACACTACTGAAAGTAGATCCAAACACTACAGGCAAAGGTTGGCCTGAGAACAGTGCCGGTCCGAGCGTCTCACAAGCCGGCAGCGTGGGTGAGGGGGGTCGACATCTGAGCCAACCAATTGAAGAAAGCAATAATTATGGCTCAGGGTCCAGCTTGAATCGAGGGAGCCATGCTCCAGGAGGTGCTCAGTCCACATCGATGAATTCAGGCAAGATTTCAGTCTAACATGGTGTCCAGCTCTCCTGTTGCATCGTCTCCGACAAACTCTGCCTGGAATAGGGCCAGCAAAGGAAGGAAAGGAGGTATGGACGCTAGCAGTGGTAGTGGTAGCTTCGATTGATAGCTTCAGTGGACACAAGAACGACTAAACATTGAGTTACGTATTTCTAGAAGTATCAGGCGATCATATACCAGGGCAGAGAAAACAGGCAGCATCAATTATAACAAAACAGCACATACATAGAAGGAGCAGGCGGCAGGCCAAATACGGCGGCACCATCTTGGAACTTTTCTTTTCAGTCTCTAACACTCAGTCACCACCGGTTCATTGTTGTACCTAGACTACGAAGTTTTGGCTCCTACAAGCCTGCAAGTAAAACTGTCACTTTTATTACTGTATAGATCTGTACCTATTGTATGGAGCCCTGCCTCCAACATCGTGCGTAGTAGTAAACATTGCAGTTGCTCCTGTCTCATTGTCAGCTTCTGTCAACACAGCCAGCAGCTCTCCTCGCCAGCACCATCACGTCTGGGCCAATCGATCTGCACTCACCTCAGCTCATCACTCAACTCAACAGCCCATCTCCGACAACTCATCTCTTCAGCACCAGTCCACCAGGTTCATCCCTAAGACTGCGCTCTACCTGAGGTCTGATCCACCATCACCAGCCCCGTACAGACTGACTTTCCCCTGTCAGCTGCCAGCACATCATCACTTATCATCATCCGTACTATATCCCATCCGAATCTGTTGTTGCAATAAAACAGTTCTCTTACTGATTTTCTGCATCTCGGGTCCTGCTCTCTTTTTCTTCCAGCTCTGCTGATAACTGCAGTGCTACTTGTTGTGTATGTTTTTGTTTTTTTTTGAAGAATGGTTTTAAACTCTTTGTAAATATCAAATTTTTTTCTATTTTTTCTGTAGTGCAATTTGGGGAGATGAGCACAAAAAATTATTGGTTTGCATTTGCAACTATGCCATCCTTTATTTTTTCCTTCAAGAAGAACCCCATCACACCTATAATTGAAACTCATGGTTTAAATATGCATAACAGCTGGAGCAAAGGATCATTATAGAGTTCCCAAAGGCTTAATTATGTTTCAACTCCACTTTAGACCATAAAAACAGTCAGAAAGCTTTAAAAACAACAATATTATATAGGGGTTGAATAATTGTGACATGGCTATCTTAACAAAATATACTGTTACACACAAATAGGCTGACACCAGGAGAAAGCTTTGGAGATGGTGACGCAAGAGGGGAGTGCTCCATGCTAGGCTAAAAGCTTGCGCTAGCCGACCACCGCTACCCAGCCTTTTGCTAGCTAACGTGCGGTCTCTGGAAAACAAATTGGACGAACTAAGAGCCAGGATTACAACACAGCGGAGAATAACAGAGTGCTGCGCTCTAATTTCCACTGAGACCTTGCTCTTGGACAAAGTTCCAGAATCCACTGTTCAGCTACAGACTCACTCCAGCATTGATGAGCTGATCATTCAACACCCCAGGGAACTTCACAGGCCGGCTGTTTGTAGGTTAGACCCAGTCAGGTGAAACAACCAGCCCCTGTACAGGAACATCCCTGAATATGCAGTAACCTCAGGCCCTGTATTTTTCTCCATATCCTCCGGTCACAGTGCAGGCAGCAGGAGGTAAAGCATATCTACAAAACCACGCTTTTACAGTGGCACTGGTGGATGTCGGTTAAGCTCACATGACCGTGCGACTACCTGGCGACGATGACCATTCAAGGAAATCCTTAAACTATCACATAGTACTTTATTTTGTCAGAAAAAAAGTCTCACAAGTGAGTTTCCAAGACATGTATAAACCGAGCTGCTTCTGCATAGAAGTACTACAACACAGGTATGCCTAATTTTTTGAGTTTTCAGCCATGTTTAAGATGATAATTCTTTGTTGTAGATAAGTCAGAAAACACAGAAAAGCAGGTCATGGCCACTTTAAAGAGTGCATACATACCATTTTGCTCTGTCAAGAATTTGATAAAATGAATTACTTTCTTTTAAATCCTTACCCAAAGACATAGGAGTCTGTTGAGATGGAGGATCACAGAGCTTTTGTGAGCCTCCTGAAATCTACAGGGAATTCACACTTCCTTCACAGTTTGGAGATTACATAGACATTGTTTGATTAATTCAATAAAAATAGTACAAAAGTGATAAAACAGCTACTGATCTGATCTTAACGTAAAAGAGCAATATGACCTTATGTGCCTGCTTGTTAATGCCTGTCATTTACTGGTTTTAATTTATGTGCAGCAATACAGAAGAATTTGACATAATATTAATGACAATTTAATTAAGCACAAAAAACACATCTGAAGTTTATGGACTGTGGAATCAATTAGCTTATTCCACTTAAACAATGCAACTGACTTATTTAGCCTATGACTGTGCAGCCTATTTATTCATAGAAAAAAAAAGAACTTGATTGTCCAATATCTTCCTATATTGCATTTCAAGGTATATTCAATATATTGATTAATACTTCATGGCGCTAGAGTTCCCTTGAACTCCAGTTTTTGTTATAATGTATAAAACTGAATTGTATTGTATTGGTGAACTGTTTATTTAACATTTGTGTGCTCCATAGGTTCCACATCATCTTCATAAACCATACTGATTCTTATCCCATAGGTGTGTGTAATTATCATTGCCATCAGCTCATGCGCTCTCAGCTGATGAAAACCAAATGGTACTTGAAAGCTCTGGATAAAATGTGTAAGATTATGGTTTGTAGTTGGACTGACAGATGTAAGACTCATTCTTTTAAGGCAAGTGAAATTTATAACATTATTTTTACTGAAAAATGTAATTCTAATACAAAATGCATTCCTCTTTACACTTTTAGTATAGAATGCATCTTCCAATGTAAGATACACACACAGGTGTCTTTCATAAACATACACAGTACATCCTCATAACATAGAGATTTCATGTGGCAGGCAAAGCTAGCAAGGTGTGATCAGAATAATGATTGTTTTTTTGTTAGAAAGAGGGAGCAAAGCAGACAGAGAGAGAAAGGGGAAAATGAAAGAAGCAAGTGGTGTGATGAGAATATTAATTTCACACACTGTGGGTGCCTGAAGTCCATTACTGCTGGAGAGCCATCATAAAACTATTAATGAGAGAATTATGGAGAAAGAGGCTGAGAATGAAGGAAGGAAGGGGCCATATTCCTGATTTGTTGCGGCAATATGATCGCAAGGTAGGTATCAAAGAGAGAATTAAATACCAATTAAAACCAGATTAAAAAGGAACCAAACTGCCATAGAGAAATCAGGAGAGATAGGAGCAGGTGAGATATTTAAAAAAAAAGGGAACAATACACTGCATAGGAGTGAGCTACTATCGAAGTGAATGCTGTTTAATGGTAACAAGTTTGTGTTGGGAGCTCATGTTTACTTATTACAAAGTGGAGATGAAATTTTTGTTCCAAAGACAGATACAGCAAATGAGTGCAAAACACAGGCAGGTTAAATAATGCTTATTGGTTCTGAAGAAAATCCATGCCAGTGTTTTTCCAGCATCCTTGGGTAACATTGAGAATGTGTAAATTTGATGTCACTATGACTGTTAAAATCTTCCTTCACTGTTTATTGATCTGTAGATGTCCTGTCTAGCAGAGCTTGATTCCAGCTGAAGGCCTTTCAGCCATTTAAATCACTGTAGCTATAATATAGCAGTAAGAATATTATCTGGTCTGTGAGCAGCACTGTGCTCCACATAATATATAAGTGTGGTATAACAGCTATTTTACCTTATTTAGTAACATTTTTGGGAAAAACAAAAGCTTCCCGTCTAACATAAGTACACAAATATACAACGGACTACGGTGGTATTCAACACTAATTCCACATTGATACAGGAAAGTTATTTGAAGCATGCTCATTAGGCCTGTCATATTTTATTTGAAATTCAAACTTTTTCCAATCATGGGAAAATGTTAATTATTAAATATAGGGCACTGTCATGGTCTTTTCAAATTCGATAAGCATAGCAGAGCTTTTAGTTAAAATATGCTGTTTTGCATTCAAATTGTCTCTATGTTAGTTGAGATTTGTTAGAACATTTTCAAAAATCACAGCCCTAGTCCGCATCATGTCCTGAACTCCATCAGAGATGTCAGGATGTTGTTGCCTACTGAGCCTCGACTGCCTCACTCACAGAATATGGCTGGAAATATGCTTCTCCGAACACATAAACATCTCTGTGAACCTACGCAGAGTTCTCTGGGTAGATACGTGTTCACTGGGAGTTAGAGAGTGAGAGAATATGAACTTTCTCTATATATACAGTCGGAAGTATAGTAACTGGCTTATGTAATACGTTCATATGTTGCCTTCTGTAGAGACATGATTATTCCATGCAAACAAGTTAAAATAAATTCAAATAATAAATCATGGATGAATAAGTCGGTTAAGTCTTACATACAGAAAAAAGGTATGTTTTTAATCAGCGTTTAGCCTACGAGGTACATATTGCTACCAAGGTGCAGAAAATCAAGATCCTAAAAGCAAAACAAAAGTACAAGACTAAACCTGAATATAAGATGGCTGTAAATAATATGGGTTCTGCTTGGGCCAGCATGAAACCATAATGGGTCAAAAGAGCAGCACTCTTTCTTCCCAAGAGGAATTTAAGTCTGACATTGAGTTTGCTAATGCTCTTAAGTCCTTTTATACTCATTATGATACTTTTGATTCTAGTTATGAGGTTCAGGAATTGTGTTATAAACTGAAAGATAGTCAGCACTTTGACATAACATAAAAAGATGTTGAAAATATCTTTTATTTGATGAAAGCCAGCAAAAGTTGCAGCCCAGATATTATCTGTGGTCGTTTACTTAAAACCTGCACAATGGAGATGAGTCCTGCCTTTACTTATATTTTTAATAGGTCTCTGCAGACACAGCATGTACCAAAGGTCTGGCAGGACAGTTCTGGTCCCTAAACCCAGTGGCCCTAAAATTCTGAATGATTTTAGACCTGTTGCCCTTACATCAATTTTAATGAAAAATTCTGAGATTGGTAAGGTCATTCATTTTAAGGGAAACAGCATGCACTTGACCCCATGCAGTTTGCCTATAGCCACACAGATGTGTGGAGGATGCAACAGTTTCCTTGTTACACTTCCATTTTAAGCATTTGGAGGGATGTAGGTCTGATAGTGCCTATAAAAAGTATTTACCCCCTTGGATGTTTTACCCTTTTATTGATTTTACAGTGCATCCAGAAAGTATTCACTTTAAGTAGCACTTAACTTTTTCCACATTTTGTTATGTTACAGTCTTATTCCAAAATGGATTAAATTTATTATTGTCTTCAAAATTCTACAAACAATACCCCGTAATGACAACATGAAAAAATTTTGTCTGAAATTTTTGCTCTGACAATGTTAATGGAGAAGTATAGAGATGGTCAGAAGGAGCTGCATTATGTCTTTGTGGATTTAAAGAAAGCGTATGACAGAGTGCCGAGAGAGGAGCTATGGTACTGTATGAGGATGTCAGGAGTGGCAGAGAAGTACGTCAGAGTAGTTCAGGATATGTATGAGAGGAGTACGACAGTAGTGAGATGTGCTATAGGTCAGATGGAGGAGTTCAAGATGGAGGTGGGAGAGCATCTACATATAATTCAATGAAAACAGGTTGATTCCATCTGAGGAAGATAATGTAACAGGAGTGAAAGCTCCACAACAGC